CGGATCTCATTTTCAATGGATTAATGGACCCCATGCCGTGAGTCATCATTCATATTCTCTCGTACCAGTTCCATGGTTGTTATTGTTCAGATACTTGGCCCCTCGTATCACCAGGCATTTCTACGGGCGAACTATGCGCCAACTCCACGATGAGAAACTCTAATTCTCATGATGACCCACTCGGACTCTCTAGAACGCAAACGAGGGACCATTCCACCTCAAACGTGATCGGGAAACGTTTACGTTCGCGTCGAGGGAGCGGGAAAGGACAAAGGAGAGATCGGAGAAAGAGGGGACGAGACGAAGCGCTGAGCATTGAAGGTACAGACTCGTAGATGCGGGGGTGAGTCACATTCTCGAGCAGAGGTAATATGGTTATCAGCCACCTAACTTCTTCTAGTCTCTAGTCGTCGATGTAAGTCCTTCTCCCGGTCGCCATCGATTCCAAACAGTCGATACTACCTCGAATCGGAAGGCCTCAGTGTCACCCCCGATCGTCGTGGTAGCCACCTCTATCTAGAGGTTTTAGCCTATGCCTCCTGGAAAGGAGGCGCTTTGCGATACCACCTTACGAGCAGTCCAAATGCCAAAGGACAATTCCTCTGTCGTTCTACGTGAGTCGTTCGAGTTACCCTCGCCGTTGAGTAATCATTCAATCGCGTTTCAGGGTTTCTCCTATCTCACTGGGCCGTTGCGTTCCAAGTAACTAGTAATGGTACCCCGGAAGTTGCATAGGAACCCTTGGGGTTTGGAACGATCAACTCGTCACCTTCGAGACAGGTAAAGTACTTCATAACCTCGAATGTTCGTTATGAATCATTCATCAATGACCAGTACATTCTATTCATAATGAATGATCGGGACGGGATAAAACAATTCGGTGGGCCATTCATCTCCTGGTACGGAGACTATCATTCAATGCTTGGCTCTTCGATGCATGCCAGATCTTTGACCAGGAGTCTGCTTTCATTTGCTCAGCTGAGATCGTTGGCCCTCCAACGACTGACTCGAGATTCTTCGTACAAACGGCTATTTCAGGGTTTCGCACATGGTTTGCGCTAAATTTTGCGTGAATATAGTGGGAAAGGACTGTTGTCATACGGGAAGTAGATTACAAAGGAGGCGGTACAACGAAGGGCCGATGGTTCGAACGTTTAGAGCCCGCTTCGGTGAGCCTCACTTCTCGAATCAGGATCGAGGAACCCTCATCGCGGCTCGGCCGTCTCTAGTCTTGGATGGAAGTATGAAATGCTGTCCTTGCCACTCGCGAGCGCCAGATGAGTAGTCTAGCGAGGATTGACAAGTCACAAAGAGAGATCAAACCTGGATTTCAAACATCAAATGATGTTGTAGACTTATGATATCCCCCATAGCCTAGATCTTGAGAACCAAAACCGAGGGGAAAAGGGAGGGACCGGTATCGAATGGGAGAAGATACTAGTACTTATTGTGTGGGCATGGATTCTCTCCCGAGATTGCCGAAGACTTGACCTGCCCTCAAGCCCAAGTGTCGGCCGACGAATCGATGACGCACCCGTCGCTTCAACTTATCCTTCTACTTTCATCTCCTCCCGTATACTTCGCTTGACAACCCATTATTAATGATTCCCGGGCGAAAATTAAGGAGTTTGGGTTTTGGGATGACGGTGCGCTCCAAGTTCTGTTATGCTTACCCATTACCTCGATTCTTCTAACGGCGGGCGTAGCCCTACAATGGTTGTTCTTATAACCTTCGATACTCCTACTGACATATCATATCCAGGCCGCTAATGGTTCATGAACACGGAAATTCACTTCAAAAAGATGAACTAAGGGTCAACAATTCGAACAAGAGCGGTTACAACTATGGACTACGGCATCTCCTTTCCCCCGCGGTTTCTCTTTTCGTTCTTTATAATAACAACCCGCCGCCCTAAGCCTTCTTCTCTTGACTCCCTCCCATGGTTTACTCCCGCTCGAATGGTCGAATGCTACGTGGACGACGTACGTTCTAGAGAATTCCGTCTCTCCGTATTCCAGTCGAGGATCAGCTTCTTGAATCTCTTGTTTCAATCCCATCATCAAATCCTTTCCCCTCTCTATATTCCGATCATAGAGTTCCAGGAAATATCCTCCTCTCAGTCATCAGTCTCTCAAAGTTTCGCTTGCTGAGCTGTGTCCGTTGTCGTCAGGCCTCCCCAGTAACCGCAAAGTGTTCCGCCCCATTCATTTTCTCGGGGTATCCATGTCTTTGGCATTGCTGCTCAATATGCTTTATCAATAGCCTTGCGCGTTTGGCCCTTCTTTCGGGGGATCTGGAAGTACTTTATGATCTCGAAATCTCGTTATGGATTATTCATTGATAGCCAGCAGATCCTATCTTGCATTATGATCGGAGTGGTACAAACAATCTGGGTAGCCATTCATCTCCCGGGACAGGTTTTATTCCATTTTCCATTCAATACTTGGCCTTCATGTAACGCTACGTCTACGAGATCTTCGTCTCTAGGTCTGCTTCGCTGGCACGAGGTTCAAATAGAGTCCTATTCTACGACCGACTTTTCCACTCATTGATGCTTCTCGGCAACCTCCTTACCACTCTGGAGCTCGTGGTTCTATTGAACCTGCAGACACCAAGGATTGGGGTTAATGTCTTCCATGCGAGATTCGTGTACGAGTCCAGATTGGCTTCTGATGATTGAGAACTCTGGGAAACTGAAATCAGCCCCATCCCTATCGAAATATCCGGACCTTACGAAAAGAGGCCAGATTATGGAGGAAGCAAAAGTTGGCGGTGCGCGCACGGACCTTGGGAGCATCCATCGAAAGAAGCGTGACCTGGCCTCCTTATGACATGTGACTGGGAGGATCATAGAGAGGTCGTAGTGAGCACGAGTGAGGGTCGTCAGGAGATGATATCTATGTTGAGGAGGAAATTAGTTCTAGTTAACTTTTGAAGGGAAACGGACCTATTTCCCCGCCAGTTCATACCCTTCCGCCCGGGTTGTTGATGCACAAATTATCTTTCTCGCACCACCGTAAGCTATACGACGCAGCCGCATATCCCGAACAACAACCTTCTTCGTTAGACTCGAAATCGAGCTCCTGTTTCTTGGTGCAGATCTGTCGATTGTGGCGTTGTAGATTCGTGTCGTTGCGGTCCCCCTCGAAGAACTTGGTCCTCACAGCGACTTGATCCTATGCTCACCACTCGAAGCTGCCATCCGAACGCTTCTCGTACTATTCAATCGCTATTGGTACTCAAGATTCGTCTCTCAACCCCGGTTATGTCGACTACTTGCTCTTGCTTGTTTGTTCCGGTCCCCGAGGTGGAAACAAGTTGATGGAAAGAGGCACCGCCCGATATTCTCTGTATGGTCAGCCATGCATAATGTTGAGTGGTCTGGAAACATACGAGAGAAGCTGGCATACGACATATGAAATCAAAACTGTTCAAATATGGTAAGGAACGGGTAAGCTACAAATAGACATCGGATAGATAGATCCCAGTCACCTGCACGCGGCCACGTTGACTGTCGCCCATTGTCCCATCATGGCACTCGTCTGTACAGCGAGGGTCACTGCTGCTATGGTCGCAAGCACGAATAGGATGACTGTCGATACGATGTGAAATACCAACTTCCGGCGCCCCAGAAGTCGAATTCCGAACACAAAAAGGACGGTATTGCAACCTAGGTGAGGGTTATAGGAAGCGCTACCACCTCGGGGCTAATTCATCGACTTGCCGAAGAGGAACAGCTGAAGCTAATGATAATAATGTTATTGCGTGCCTCATCTGAGCACAGGGTATGTTCCACACTTACTGAGGTATTGAAGGACGCCAACACAAACTGCTTCGAATCAAGAGCCATAGGGAGTAATGACGAGAATTGCGATCAGGCGAATGGTTTACGTGGTGCCTCTTATACTCTCCAGGTAGTTATTCAGAGCCTCGATTGTAGCCGAAAACATACGACCTAACACTCTTCCAAGGAAACACCGGCCCACGTTGGAAACCTTAGCTAATCAATACATTCCAGCCCATGTTGGGCCCTCGGAGGGCCACCTCGAGGCCCATGTTGCCTCTCGGAGCTGCCTTGTTGCCTCTCGGACGCGCTCCGGGTAGCCATGTTGAGCTTTCCTGCATCTTTCCGGGAGCGGACCTCTCCTCCGCCCAGGAAATGCGTTGCCACATCGACGAATTGGGCTTCCACATCGAGCAATTCGCTGTCCAACATGGCACCTGTGTTGATATCCATGTTGGACAGCCGTGTTGCCATGTTGGATCTCGGACGCGCTGCGGCCAGCCATGTTGAGCTCTCCTGCCCCTCTCCGGGAGCGGACCTCTCTTCCGCCTGGGAAATGCGCTTCCACATCGAACGATTAGGCTTCCACATGGAGCAATTCGCTGTCCAACATGGCACCTGTGTTGATATCCATCTTGTACCCATGTGGATACCTATGTTGCCATGTCCAGTCCCGACTCGAAGCCATGTTGGGTGGCGGAGATGCTCTCCGCCCCGCAACCCCGTTCAATTGTGGTACCCTGCCGTCGGGCCTGCGCTCCGACAGATACACCTCCACATCGATAGAACAGCCATCTACATCCGATCCATGTGGGTTCCCCTATGTATTCCGACGTCGGACGACCCTTCCAACTCAAAAGCCGGAGACCTTCTCCGCGACCCAACCAGGGGCCATGTCACGTGTCACGATGACCGTGATCACGTGCTATGGGGCGCTTTGGCACCGCGCAAACATGGCACGCCTCTGACCCATGTCCGGTCCTGAAAATATGCTCCGAGCGACGACATGGCCCATTTCCGGTCTCTCCCGCCTCGCGGTTGTGCTCCGAGAAAAAAAGGCAGGCACATTGAGGGAATAGCATTCCTCATTCAGGAAACATGTCCCACGTCCGACCCACGCTCAACCCTCCTTTCGCCATCGGAGTCGCAGGTGAACGGGAGGTCTTCAGTGCGTATCTGATAACTATATCAGACGAGCTGAACCACGTTAAACAGGACCTGGTAGTCTAGTGGTTAGACCGCCTGACCATATTTGCACGCGTACTCTTCATCTTTCGAGGGGCAGGCGGGCACAGGCACCGCAGGCGCTCGGGTTCGACTCCCGGCCAGGTCGTAGAAGAGAACATCAGTTTTTTCGACAGCTTGACCACCGGACGTAGGGAACTACTCCGACTCCCGACGCGCTTGGCTTTGCATCGGGAAAACATGGCTCTAATAGCGAGACGAAATCATGTTCTCTAAGACCCGATAGTCCAGTGGTTGGACCGCCTGAATAAATTCATCCTTGTCAAGCGTTCAACAGGTGCTCGGGTTCGACTCCCGGTTGGGTCATGGGATTCAGAATGTCGATTTTTCTTTTCTAGCTCTCCGCCCCCAAGCGCTGCGGGAGACGTTCTCTGCGCGCCCATCAAGCGCCCAGTTGAGCTTACATAAGATCAGGATAGACGCCAAAATAATCGATACCACGTGCTGTGTCAGCGCTCTGGTACCGTGCAAACACTGCAGAGCCAAGTCGTCGGACCTCAGTCATCTACTCTCAACGTCACCGGAGTAAGTCCGGGTCCCCAAACCCTCTTATCTGTAGACATTGCGGCACTCTAGTTGCGGGGGCGGGCGTACTCCGCTCCACGTGATCAATTGCTCCCGATCGCTTACGGGCTAATGCCAGTTAGACCCGGGACACAAAAAGCCCGCGGAGTCCAACAAAAAGGTCCTGCGACATCCAGGACTCGAACCTGGGGCTGTGTAAATATGCGAACGTCCTTGGAGATCACGTGTGCACACCGTGTAAACCGCTACACCAATGTCGCTTGGAATAATGGTGTGCTCTCATGTGCATAGTGCCATTTCCCGCCCGACGTCAGGTACTCAGTAGTCCCCGGACCCACATGTGCCTCCGGCAGCACCGGAGTGAGTTGGGGCCTCGAGGAGCTCGCCGTCCGACATGGGACCTGTGTTGGTTTCCATCCCGAACCCATGCGGATAGCCATGTTGCCATGTCCAGTTCCGACTGGGAGCCAGAGTCACGGAGACGCTCTCCGCCCCGCAACCTAACTCAATTGTGGTACCCTGCCGTCGGGCCTGCGCTCCGACAGATACACCTCCACATCGATAGAACAGCCATCTACATCCGATCCATGTGGGTTCCC